CGTGGTATCTCCCCTTCTGCTCTGGATTATTCGCATTTCCGGTTTCATCCTATCATGCCTTCACTATTACAATTTTTACCGTGTTTATTTAGACTAGGTGAGTTCCAATAAGTCTTCCTACCAATATGACCATGTTGCGAAAACAAGATCAAACAACTTCTATACAACGAAAGGCGACTGCGACCACACAAAGGGCCATACCATCTTGGTCTTCATACCTTCTAAAGTGAAGTTTAAACGGCAGAAGAACAAGCCAGTAGGCTGTCTCACCTTTCCAGATCTAAGATCGAGACGGACCAAGTAGTTGTGGACTCCAGGCATACCTCCCTTGACCGCATCTACAAAGGCTCCAGCCCCCGAGCCCTTGGTAGAGACACCAACATCGGTACCAGCGGTAACAGGGGCGGTCATTTCCCCAGAATAGTCTGAGCAGGCACGCCAGCCAAATACAAATAGACATACTTCTTCGCGCCACTGCGGTTCAACGAGAAGCATTGAAGCCTTCGATTCCGCATCCAGTTGTCCAGAAATGTCCTCACTATTGATAGTGTCTGGCTGCTTGGCAGTATCGAGTCGCTGATGTGTCCCGATAGTATGCTCCATCTCGGTGCTGAGAGCAGCAACGCCTGAACAAGCACTCGGAGGATAATCGGAAACCAAGGAGGTAATGGTTTCAAGATCAGGCTGCTCATAGCACTGAAGGCGAATCCGGCCCCATTCAATGCCCAAGATGGGAACAGACAAGATCTGGTACTCCCGCCAGAGCTGGCCAGACACGGGATCCCAGATCTAAGAAGCGAAATGGATGGAAAAGAACGTTATAATGCATGATATGCAAGCAACAACAGCTGCATTACGGCGAAATGTGCATGTTAAATTGTGTGAATTTTAAACATAAGACGGCCATAATTCTACTCGAAGATTCTCCGATCCTTTGGACAGATCAGACATAAGAAGAATTAATAAGAGCCTTAGTCAGGCTGAGTTACTTTAGGTGATTAAGAACTGATAAAGAATTTTCCCACATTGAAATGAGTAGGGCTCATGATGCATTTCAATTTCACTTAGCCTTCGAAAGTATGAAGACCAAGATGGTGTGGCCCTTTGTGTGGTTGCAGTCTCCTTTCGTTGTATAGAGGTTGTTTGACCTTGTTTTCGCAACATGGTCATATT